TACCTTTCTTTCGAAGTCTGTGTATTACTTATTGTATTCGAAAAACCTTGTTGCTTGGTAATCAACACATATTGGCTTGAAATCACATGTTTGGAATCGATTGAATTAATGATCGAGATCATAGAATTATAATCGATGTTCTTCGATTTTAATTCGCATGGAATCAATTTTATATGATTTAAATTGTATATGTGTTTTATAACTACAAAAATGTTGGGGTAAAACATGGGTAGATGTATTAGACGATGTGTGATAAAATGATGAGAGGCCTCGATGTTGTTGTTGTTGATCTAGTCATCTAGCGGAGTATAGATGACGACCACGGACTCTTCTAGACAGTCTAGTGGAACGTTGGCAGGCTCAAAACCTGTAGGTGTTGTAAACGATGTGTTCACCGGTGTACTCCATCCCACTCATGGTTTCCTTTAGGACATTTATTGCCGAGGAAGCCCCTTAGCAGTAGTATCCATCCTGATGATGATCCTTAGGATAGGTCCCTTATGATAGGTGTTTAGGGACGTAAAGTGAGGATAACGGGAATGGGTAATCGGGTTATTGTTGATTGATGAAATTAATAAAATTATTTATTGTGGGTTGAAAACCCTATGTGCTCACCAGGCTCCCAAGCCTGACCCACTTAGTTTCATGTATTATAGGTAGTGGCGCTCGAGCATAGATGTGATGTTTTGGATGAGGGATTATAGATATAGGCATGTAGATATGAAATAATTTAGTAAGGCTTATATTGTACTGTTTATGCTTTTGATCTATATCGAACATGACATCCCAAGTCTTTTAATGAAATACATTTCTATGAAAATGCTTTTGATAAATCGTTATCATAAATTGTTTTGGGACAAATTCCGCATCACTTTTATTTAAAATGTTTCTTTGATTTTCAAACAAAGCATAAACAAAATCGATCTTTTCAGGCCTTGAAAATGGGGATATCACATCCTCGTCAGAATAAATGACACTAGCCGCGGTTCACCTCCGTAGCTACTTTGAGACCTAAAGCCTACGACTACATCTAACGTTATTGACTCGAAAAAGTGTGTGTGTGTGTGTTTAAAGAGAAAAAAATAAATGGTAATAAAGAAATAAACGAGGAAAAAGATGGAGGTATGAAAAAGGGTTGGAAGTTCTACTTTTATTTAACTCAAACTAAACAAAGAAAAATATAAATAAAATAAAAGATAATTTAAAAGTTATTTCACATGGTTTATGACCAAGAAAAAAATTGAAATCACACGAACCATTCCATAATAATAAAAAAAAAAGACTCCAAAAAACTGCATAAAGTGTGTTTTAAATTAATTTGTTAGGCCCATTAATAATTGACTTTGGAACACATGCACTTTCACCGTGACATGAACTATAAAGAGTAATATTATGTAGGCTATCCAGAGTGGTAGAGAAAGAGAGGCGTGAAAGTTTATGTGGCAGGCCAAGTCATACATGAACACTGACCTAGTGTCAAATGGCTTGGCTATGGAGTGCCTGTGAAGACGGGCCAAGACGACCAATAGGATTCGAGTTTTTATATTGATAGTTTTTTTTATTTCTTGTTACCATATTCTTGAAGATTCCTAGCAGCATCACTAAACATCGTACATGATCAACACCAAATGCAAGATAACTCATTTTTTTTTAACAGTGATACTTGAATTTAACAAGCAATCTTTTTCTTTCCAGTTCCTTATCATGCTTCTATTGTCTTCCCCGTTCTTTGGGTTTGTTTATGGGTTATCTGGGTTGTTGTTTTAATAGAAGATGATATTTTCATGAACCTTTCCTTTTGCCTATCAAGTGTTTGATAGAATTTTCTAACCAGATTTTCTTTCTACAACTATATTTTTCTACTTCCCCTTATGTATTAAATTATATTCTTTATTTAATCTAATATAAAAAAAATAAATATAAATATTATAGAGTGATAATCATTTCCAAATGGTAGTGGTTTGGTGGTGAAAATTCCCCTAAGCCTTAAGGAAATAACAGAAACAGTAATTATAAATTTATAAGTTAGTTGATAAAGAATGTTTGATGAAATTAATGAAAGTTAGTTGAAATTTATAAAATAATAACAAAAGTATATAAAAAATTTAAGGTTTTTTTATAATAATTAAAAAATATTTTTGAAAAACCTAATAATAAAATAAAATATATTGGATGTTATTATTCACATCCAAAATGTGAAAACCATTTTAGCAAAAAGTCAAAACTACCATTATTTTTGGTAAAAAAAAATAGGTTAGAAAACCTCTTATCCCATCTATTCAACCATCATCACATCAAATAATAATTACATGCTTTTTTAATGATAGAGTAAATTATATTAATGATCTCTATGGTTTTGAATAATTTGCATGTTTGACTTTTAAATTATTTTTTTAACTTTAAAGGTTATTACTGTTTGTTTTTGTTACACGCTTGCTCATTGTCTTGCCTAAAAAAACTATTACGCCTTATTAATTTTTGTTTAATTAATTTTATTATTTATATTATTTTAATTTATTATAAATAAGAAAAAAAGCATTATGCTTACAACACCTTTACTGTCACTCTCAATACCCTTGGTTGATTGATCATTCATCATCATCATCGCCAACCTCCCCCATCCTCAACCCTGCACCCTCATCACTATATACTTGAAAATGCTCCTTCCTCTAACTTCAACGTCGAGTATCTCCTTCATCCACTCCTCACTGCCCACCTCTTCATCACTAATAAAACTCCGACTTTAAAATTATCCCTTTGTGACCTAGATATCCCTGCAACACTATTACTCATGACACCAACTATCCGATCAACACTTGCCCCATTGTCTCCATTGTCTCTCTCTATCGGCCATACACGACACGTGATACACCTCCGTTTCCATGTTCTATCCTAACCGTCTCACATGTCATCAATGTTGTATATTGTCACTGGTCTCCATCACAAGCAATCGCTAACTGCCTCCATCGCCAAGTGATTGTCACCGACCTTCATTGTCAATTTGACCGCTTGTGGTCTCAACTGAGTTCTATTCAATTGCTTTGTATAAATTTCTTTGTTTGATTTTAATTATTGTTACATAAATCTGTGTTCATGAGTGTTTAATTTCAAGTTTTTGAGTCTGATGTCAAGTGTATCTGCATAATTTGAATTTCAAGTTTCAATTCATGCTCCATGTATGATTTGTGTTTCAGTTTCTGTTTCAATTTTGATCTCAGATTTCATAACTGATTTATGCTTCAATATTTGAATCAAATATCTCAGTCCAAATCTTAATGTTAAATATTATATATTATGTCAATGCTTATTCATAAATTTGTTTTTAGATGTAGACATGTAGTGATTCTAACTCTGACGATACGGTGGATGGTGGTGGTGAATAGTATGGTAGATAGCTTTCTAGGAAGGCGGGGAGTCACATACATGAAACATGAATGGAATGGGGAATAAGGAAAAAATGTTAGTGTAGGTAAGGTAAGGTGAGGTGGGGGTGGAGTTGGGGGTGTGTTTATTAATATAATTTAAAAAATCAAGGGCAAAATAATTTTTTTAGGTAAGACAAGGACCAAACACATAACAAAAACAAACAATAGGAGCATTCCGAGTTAAAAAGAATAATTTAGAGACCAAACACACAAATTACTCCGAACCATAAGGACCAATCGTATAATTTACTCTTAATATTATATGTAAAAACCTTCAAATATATAATTTCGGGTTATATATATATATATATATATATATATATATATATATATATATATATATATATATATATATATATATATATATATATAATTGTATGTATTACTTTTAACAATTTTCAATTACTATTATTAAAAAAAGGAACTATTAGCATTATGAATGTCATTGTCCTTTTTATTTTCTTTATAATAAATAAAAAGTTAAAATATTTATTTATTTTTATTTGATTATTAGGGCCAAATATTACAGAAATCAAAAAAGTGGTTTGAATGGATTCTTTTATTTCTTGTTAAAATAAAACTAAGACCACAAAAGATATTTATACAAGTTGCATAAGGAAACCTATACAAAATAGAAAAACTAAATATTTAAATAAAAGCTACATAACTATTAAGAGTTTGGGTAATTGGATTAATATAATGACATGAACACCGTTTGTCTTTACTCCCCCCTCAAGGCCTTAAGTTGGAATCTGAATATTGCGAAAGTCGAACTTATCTAGAAGATAATGAAATTGCTTGGCACCAACTGATTTATTAAAAATATCAGCAACTTGTTCAGTGAAGCTTATAGAACATGTCTTAATTTATAGAACATGTCCTAATTTCTCGAGATTCAACACGTTCACAAACAAAATAACAATCGATTTCACGTGTTTTGCGTGTTCATGTAAGACACATAAGAGGCATGTGTCATACTTATGGTGATTATTTATGGTGATTGTAGGTAGTGGTGGTTAGATATTTGAACAATGAGGATGTGAGTGGGGATATAGGGTAATAAATTAGTGAGTGCTAATAAGTAAATAGACAAAATAAATTTATATAAAAAACTAATAGAAAGTATAAAAATGTATAAGTGCAAAATATTATTTTTATATATGTTACCAACAAAATATGCAACAAATTAAAGTTTGATGGACGGATGTAGTTGGTTAAAAAAATAAGTTAGAAGCTAACGATACAAATTCTCAAATCATATGAATAAATCATGTAATTTACTTTTAATATAATTTTTTAATGATAATAAAATAAAAAAGATTGCAAAATTATTGATTTTGTTATTATAATAAATAAAAAAAGAAAAAAAATATAAAATATAAAAACAACGCTATCTAAATAATAGTATATTAAAAGCAGAAGAACTAAAAATATAGTAAAACAATTCCAATTTGAATTGGAAAAATAGACGTGATCGCTGGTCAATTCAGGGCATGTCAATAACATTTGTAAAAAATCTTTTGGTTGCCAATAAAATCCCCCTAAATTCATTAAAACACCAATCCACTACTTAAAAAAAAAAAAAAAATCTTATACTCTGTTTTTCTTTTTCAGTTTGCAATAATCTGAAGAAAAAAAAGTGTGGCTCGCCAAATAGCTTAATTAGCCGCCTTAAATTAAACTCTTCGACCATTTTAAAGAAATTGTGGACCAGTAAATTGTGGGGCATATATAGTAGATGCTTTGAAGATTATCAATGGAATAAGAGTATAAAACAACTTAATTACTATCTTGAAGTTTGAATCTTGCAGGGTTTGTTTTCTTGAAGTTTAATATTTTAGTTGAAGTAAGTTTTAATCTTGCTAATATTAAATAAAAAAAATCAATTGGGTAGTTGGTATCTATCTCCTGTTTTACATAAATGTGTTTTCTCGGGATGCATGCTTTTTTTTTTTGTTGTGTTTTTATGATGATGGTCCCAAGAATTTCAGTTCCTATATAATATTCACCATTTCTTGTTTTCTTTTTTTATATATTCAGCTTCACAACCTTAATCGCATTTCGATTTTTCTTTCGGATTTCTGGAGAAATTTTTGTTTTTACAAATGGGGTTTCTTGATCTTCTTTCTACTGCTTCTACGCCTATTCTCAAAGTTCTGATAATCACAGCACTTGGCTCAATTCTTGCCATGGATTCTGTCGATATCTTGGGCCAAAGTGCAAGAAATTACGTCAATAATGTAAGTTTTTCATCTTCAATCCCCTTCATCACTTAATCTAATAACCTAATAATGATTAAAGATTCAATTTTGCTGCTTCTCGAAAGTCATAATCTTGGGTTCGTATACCCATGTTCAAGAAAATTGCTAAATTTGATTAAAGATTCGATTTTTCTTGATATGGAACTCACGAAACTCGTTCTTATAACCAGGTTGTGTTCTTTGTGTCTAATCCAGCACTTGTGTCGAGCAATCTTGCACAAACAATCACTCTCGAAAGCATCATTTCTATGTAAGTTCTATTTCATGAGTTGTATATTGATATATTCTATTGTTTCAATTGATTTGCCTTTAAAATTGTTAAAAACTTCAGGTGGTTTATGCCTGTTAATATTATCATTACATTCATAATTGGAGCAGCACTTGGATGGCTACTTTTTTTCATCACAAAACCACCTCCACATCTAAAAGGCCTCATCTTAGGTGTATGTTCGGCAGGTAAATTACCTAAAATACCCCTTATAATTTAACAAAATTTTAAAATTTTGATTGTGAATTACAGGAAACTTGGGAAACTTGCCTTTGATTATAGTCCCAGCTGTATGCAAAGAGAAAGGAAGTCCCTTTGGTGATCCCGATGTTTGCCATGAATATGCGATGGCGTATGCTTCATTATCTATGGCTGTATGTTCTTTTTAATTTGTATAATTATTTGTTTGAACACGTTTAATTAATGCGATATTTATTTATGTTTTCTAAGTTTTAGCAACATGTTTATAGATGGGAACGTTATTTGTGTGGACTTTCGTGTACAACCTACTAAGGGTATTCTCGGAAGATTCTGGTAACAATATTCCCAAAGAAACAGTAACCATGAAAGAGGATTTAACTCAAAGCTTGCTTCCATCATCTACATCTAATGTTAACATGATGGGAAAAGAGAAGGTTGTTTTTTTTTTTTTTGCTTTCACATTTCAAATTTCAATAAAGTCAACCATGTAATTTTTTTACTAATGTGTTTGACTTCAGGGGATGTTAGGTACAATGAAGCAACATTTCGGGAACTTTTCAAGAGCTGTTAACTTAAAGGCGGTGTTGTCACCATCAACCACCGGAGCTGTACATTTCTTTTTCCCACTCTTAAATGGATATTATTTAACTTGAAACATATTAAATGTGAATTTACTTATAATATTTTTCTTTCTTCTTTTATCATAAAGCTTATAGGCCTCATAGTTGGAATGATTGCCCCAATTCGTAGGCTACTAGTAGGCACCGAAGCTCCTCTTCACGTGATTCAAGATTCCGCATCCTTAATCGGGTATGATCTTTTTAACCTGTATATTTCATTTCATGTTGTGGGTCCCGTTATTGAATGGGATCCACAAGAGTCTGACACTGACATTAATACTGATGAATCGTATTCACCATTGTCTCAGGGATGCGGCGATCCCGACTATGACATTGATTTTGGGTGCTAACCTTTTAAGAGGTAAGTAAACTTAGATTATAAATCGAGTTCTTGTGTAATAAGTTAGTTGATATTGATTAATAGGGCATGATTTTTAGGTTTGAAAGGATCATCGGGTGTCTCGTTACCACTTGTGTTTGGAATCGTAGCAGCTCGGTTAGTTTTGTTGCCAATTATTGGCATTTTTATCGTGAAAGGAGCGCTTTACCTTGGCTTTGTGCATGCGGATCCTCTTTATGTTTACGTTCTTTTACTACAGTTTGCGCTTCCACCTTCTATGAACATTGGTATGAGAGTACAAGTTGTGAAATTTGTTATACATGTTTGAATTTCTTGGATTTTTTATTTGATGACAAGTTGTGAAATTTGTTGATGTGATTGTTGTAGGTACAATAACACAATTATTTGGAGCAGGTGAAAGTGAATGTTCGGTGATTATGATGTGGTCGTATGGTTTGGCGTCAGTGACACTCACCCTTTGGTCGATGTTTTTCATGTGGCTTGTGGCTTGATTTGTTTCAATTAGACACATCAAGCATAAGAATGTCAAAGAGCCTAGAAAAGCTAGGGAATTGCATTTCTTGCACCAAATCTAGTCAAAAATTAATTCATTTGTATTTGTTTGGTGGTGAAGAATTGAGTGGAAGTTGAGCTTATAAGGTTCAAAAATTAATTCATATGTAGTATTAGTATCTATGTAATTAAGACTAGTGAAATAGCAAAAGGGTTTTTTCTAGTTATTCGAGATCAAACACAACTTGAGCTCCTAAATCGTGTTTGTTTATTGAGCATGATTTGTAATGAAAACTTTCGAGCTCATTGACGTATCGAGTAAAGATCATCCTTGTCATTTTACAATCATACAAACAATAAAGGCAGTGGCACGTGCAATTGATAAAACCAATATATGTATCCATTTGCGGGTTAAATTTTCACATGTACTCGTTACCACATAGTGAAACAACAAGAACAATATTAACATTATCCCAATAAAATAAAAATTCTTTTTATTCCGCACTTTGTTTATCATTATTCTTCTTTCTTTATCCCCGTGAATGTATGTCTGGTAGCCTAATGTGTAGAAAATAGAGGAAAGAAGTCTAGAATGGCATGCAAGATGAATTTTCATTTTTGTGAGAGGGATAAAGAAAGAGAAATAAAGTCTACTATAGAGGGATCATGATAAAAGGAGTAAACCAAAAGGTTTGATCTTTCTATAAGATGATCTTTCTATAAGAGGAAGGTTCAAATCCCACTTGAGACATATCCTCCCTAATAAATGAAAATAATTTTGTCACATGTCACTCTTTCATTAACTTGGATACATGTCATTTTTTGGTATTTTTAAATAAATGTTTTTTCCATGTGTCATTTTGTCATTGTTTATCTTTTTTAATTAACACATCATATTTACACCTGAGTTAATAATTGTCTTATTTAAAACTAACCATTAAATTATAATATTACAACTCATATACTATTAAATATGTTTCCTTTTAAATTCAAATTTTAAATTTTAAATTTTAAATTTCAAATTTATATAAATTTTTGTTTAAACCTTCATATTTATTTATTTTTGTTTTATCCAACCCGTATAACATACGAGTCACACAACTAGTATGATATTAAAGTAAAATAAGAGTAAAATAGATTTGCCATTAAAAAAGGATATAAGGAATGAATTTTTGGTTTATAGGAAGGATATTTGTGAGACAAAAGTTGGTTAAGGAATTGCTGCTTAAGAGGGTCATAGGCGGCTACGCAACTAGTGGAGGTCGCCAGAGATGATAATAATCGGCGCGTAGGGGTTAACATAATGCTTTGATATTCTAACGTTTCATTTTCAAAACAAAAAAAATCATTTTTTTTAAAGTAAAGTTTGTCAATTATAAATCCATTAGGAAGAAAACCGTTTATTCCAATACATTTATTGAAAATCATAGTAATATTAAAGCGCGAAATCTTCATTGTTGCTGATGAATGTATACAGTCACGCCTATGTCTTCCCATGATTACCAATGATACATGAAACAATAAACAACTGTGTAAGCACAAAACGTAGAAAGTTCTCCCAAAATAACCATACGATAAACATACAAACATGCATAACGGCCTACAATCATCAGATTGGAATGCCTAGCCCCAATCAGTCAAATGATTGAAATGACAACATGCAACAGGTCCAACCGGCCATCAGGTTGGACTACCCAAGGTTTGTTGGCCTAGTGCCTCAACTCAACCGCTTTTCGCGATCCTCCGTGCCTACGGATTACAGCCGGCCCGCATCGTGTATCTTGACCTATAGCACAAAGCAGGACCAATTCAACCCACTTGTAACACTTAAATTTCCAACTAAAATTTTTCATTTTCAAAATCATATAATTCCAATTATCACTTTTCAAAATCCGCAATTGTTTAAATTATCACAAAACAAAAATCAATAATTGTTTGATAATAATCAGGATCCTCTAAAACATAAACTCCATCTCGTGTGTACAATCATGTCGGCGTCTTCCCGTGATCTTGAGAAGTACTTGAAACACGTATCACATAACACAGTAAGCACCAAGCTTAGTGAGTTCCCCAAAATACCGCACACATATCATTAGCCTCTCATGGCTATATCTCGATAAAGACCCACTAGTTAATGTGCCTCAGTGGAGACCCTCCGGTCCCACAACTCGGGTTGGACCCTCCGGTCCTAACTCAACAATGTAACATCCCAAAGTCGAGACACAATTTTTTTTTGCTTAATTATGTTACTTATGAAAATAGTATACGGAAAACATCATTGTTATCATTTCAACATCAAATCACAAATCACAAATCACAAGTCTCAAAACCATAGCATTAATTAGTAAAATATCAGAGTAAAATCCCAGGGGCAGAAATCGTGTGTGTGTGTGTGTGATGCGCTGCTACCCTGCCGACTTCTTCCCCTTAGATGAAGAGGTACCTGAAACCAAAACTAAAAACTGTAAGCACGAAGCTTAAAGAGGTCCCCCATCATACCACATACCATACAGTCATACATATTGTCGGGCAATTCTGGGGTGCCCGACCAACCCATGTCAAGCCATTTTGGGGTGCTAACCTACCCATGTCAAGCCATTCTAGGGTGTTGACGTACTCGTATCAGGCCATTCTAGGGTGCCTGCCTACCCTCCAGTCTATCTCACCTGGTCACGAGGACTATTTCACCCCTACTACTATCACATAATAACATATCATAAACATGCTGTCAGACGTTTCTGGGGTGTGCGACCTACCCTTTGGTCCTAATGACCGAATCGAGGGATTATTCCCCTCCTACTACCACTATCACCTATAACATATCATCCTGGTACATAAAACACATCAAATAATAGCAAACCAGATAATTATCACAAATACAATCATCTCAACTGTAATCAACTACTAGTGGGTCGGCCTTGGTGCCTTAGACCCACTTCTACTGGAAGGTAACTCACCTCAATATTATGTAGTGTCTGTACTATCCTTGGTGTGAAAATCGACTCTCCCTGACTCCTCAATCCCTATACGACAACTTTTTTAAGTTATCAATTCATACTCATAACCCTTACAAGAGTCACTCAAATCCAAGTCAAAGTCAAAGTGAAATCCTTGGTCAAAGTCAAATTTTGCTCAAAGTCAACATCTGGTTCACTCGACTCGCCGAGTTGGCCCGCCAACTCGTCGAGTCCCTATATCCACAAAATGCCATAAACCCATCCCTACTTGTCGAGTTTAGCAAGAACTCGACGAGTTTGCCTTCCACAACACATCCGACTATCTTAAACCGACTCGCCGAGTTCTTCCTTGAACCCGTCGAGTTCATCTTCATCCATAAGAAGGTGTTAAGCCTATGACTCGCCGAGTTCCCCTTGAACTCGCTGAGTTCGTCTTCATGTGGCTGCAAAATTGCCTTAAACTCACCGAGTCTGTTCATGCACTCGCCGAGTTCTATGATTTCCAGGTTCCTAGAGAACCTAAACAACCGGGGAACCTTTAATATTAACATTTGGTCCATAAACAGACAGGATTTGGTGGAAAATGCACAACTTGTCGAGTCCCAAGAACGACTCGTCGAGTCCCTTATTGTCCAAAACTATACAGTCGATTATAATGGGGCTTAACGCATCAAAACCATAGATCTGGCCTCCTAGGGCCCATTTTATACATAAAGCTACAAACTTGATGCACATGCATAGGGCCTTTGGCTCAAAAAGCCATAAAAAGGGGTCTACAAGATGCATGGGGTGCTTATGGCAACAAAGTTGGCACCTTTATGCCATAAGGACCCCCAATAGCTCTAGATTCGAAGTGCAACTCCAAGTACACCCACAAAATCCGATTTTAGCTTCTCTAAACTCATAAAAAGGGTAGAAATGGCCCCAAATCAAAATATAAGAGATAGATGGTCAAGGTTCCAGCTTTTTACCTTGAATGAGCTGAGAATGTAGTAAAACTTCTGGACCTCCCTGCTTCTACTTGAACTTCCAAGCTTTCTTATTCTTCTTCAACTTCAAACACACACAAAAAGCACCAATACGAGTTTAGGGTTCAAATATAGGGTTTCTCTAAGTTGGGAGGGTGATGGAGGTTGGTTTGGGACGAGATAAAGTGTAACATCTCAATTTTCAAGGCCAAAATTTTCATTTTTAATTACGAGATTCATAACATAGTTTACCAAATATTACCAATGTCATATCAATTTATAAAAACCATAACAATGTGTCTGAAAACCATGTCATCAAAAGTAATAAAAATCAGAGTACAATCCCAGATATCTCCATGCGGAATCCATATGAGTGTGTGTGTGTGTGATGCGCTGCTACACTACCGGCCCCTTCCCCTTAGACGAAGAGGTACCTGAAACAAAAACTGAAACTGTAGAACAAAGCTTAGTGAGTTCCCCCATCATACCACATACCATACATAACACATACTGCCAGGCATATTATCACACCCCCAAACCAAAACGGTAGAATCGTTCAAGGGCGGATGACTTCATGTAGTATCATAACAGTTGAATACATAGTAAAGAAAGTAAAACAACCATCATATATATAATTGTTAAGTTACATTGTTGAACGATACTTTTTTCAAAACAAATGACAATTTGATGACAAAATGAGTTTTAAGTTGATGCCTTAGCATCACTTCTCCAAAAGATGAAGTTAACCTGTATTACTGAATCCCTGAGAAATACAAGTAAGTTTGAAAGAGTTGATCAGCTTTTAAGCTGGTGAGTTTATAAGTATTTAATGGCAATGTTTGTATAAATTTGAATAGAATTGTTTGTAGATGTTTGAAAACTCCTAGAAAATTGAAACGACCCAAAAATTTTGTTTTTCAATGTAATCAAAACCATAATCTGAGTATCATAACATAAAACATACGCGATGTATCCCAAATCATAATAAAATACTGTACGGAAAAACTGTATCATACTATATCAAATCAAGACAACTAAAACCATCCCCATGATAAAAGCTAAGCTGTGGTGTGTGCGATGCTATCACCCCGAGCTCTTCCCTTTGCTTGCGGAAGTACCTGAAACCAAAACTGAAACTGTAAGCACGAAGCTTAGTGAGCTCCCCCAAACTACCACATACCATACAGTATCATATAAACACATATTGGGCCTGGCCCACTGCATCGGGCCGAAGCCCGGAAACTGCATCGGACCGAAGTCCGGAACTGACTGGGACCTTGTCCCCTGCATCGGACCGAAGTCCGGAACTAACTGCATCGGACCGAAGTCCGGAACTATCTGCATCGGACCGAAGTCCGGAACCGACTGGGACCTTGTCCCCTGCATCGGACCGAAGTCCGGAACTGACTGACTGAACATGGCATAGCATAACACATCATCTAGCATGAACACATATACTGCATACTACATCGGGCCGTAGCCCGGAACACATAACACTTAACACCTAAAAACATAGCATACAAATCCTGTCTG